GTTGGAGGCCAGCCTAGACTACACAGGGAGATTCTGTCTTAAAAAAACAAAATAAAATAAAATAAAACCAAAAGGTTTAAATAGCCATATTTTAGGGTAACAAAATGATGTAATTATTTTACAAATGTTAGTTTTAAATAATTATGTCAACTCTGGTTCTCTTTTCTATTCGATAAAGCATTTGTTTTATTTTTTATTTTAAACATTCATTTATTTGTTTCTATTTTATATGATTGTAATATGTAATAATTACCATCATCTTGAGGACTATCTATCTGTATCTACATGGCATCTTGGTAGTTTTTACTCCTCCACTGCTCCCATGCTGCCCATCTCCTCCTACCCTAGACCTCTCCCCATTTGTTTTAGATGAATTTTATATTTACTGCCATAGAACATAGATAGTTTTTAAAAAATTATTAGATCTTCCTACAACGTGTTTTATAAATGGTCCTTTCATCAATCCTATCAAGTATTCATAGGTTCTCTGTTTTCATTAATGGTAGGTAGCGGTCATGTGGATAGGAAGTGTCAGATCAGAAACAGTTGTTTTTCCATTTAGCACATTCCTTAAGGTACACATATTTGCAGACATGGTCTTAAAAAAACTTAATTATGAAAAATTTCAAACATACACAAAAATTCTGAGGCCAGTATAATAAATCCTCTTGTCATGTGAGCTATCTTGTTTTTAGATTTTGTTTGTTTTTTGAGACAAGGTCTCTCGATGTAGTTCAAGCTGATCTTAAAGTCACTATGTAGCCCAGGCAGGCTTGAAACTCAATGAAAATCCTCCTGCCTCAGCCTCCTAGGTACTAGCATTACTTGTGTTCACCCAACTTTTTTTTTTAAGGTCGAGTCTTACTATGTATTCTAGGCTGGCCTTTGGCTTGCTGTGTAGCCGTGGTGTTGCTGAGTTTTGGACTCCTGGAGTCTCCTCCTGACGGAGGTTTTTAGGCTTTTTTCTGTTCTGAGCAAAGACTTGATCAAGATAAGAACAAATGATAGCAAAGCTTTATTAAAGGTGGTAAAAGAATCAGGCTCTGCAGAGTGAGTTTGAGCCAAGTAAAAGCAGGAAAAGAAGCTCACCCTTTAGCATGAGGGTGAGAACACAGTAGCAAAAACTGAATGTGGACAGTGCTTTTGTGTCATCCCCTCCTCAGGCTGACATCATCCTGTGGAAAACCTGCTCTGAGTTCTCAAGAGAAGTCCCCATGCAGGGCTTTGGGAACTATTCTGCATGTGTCCTAGGATTTTGTAATTAACAGTTCACACCTACTACCCCAGCCAGTTTTGCCATGCCCCAGTCTCCCATCTTACTGACTGGCCTTGAATTTGAGGCAGTCCTCCTGCCTCAGCCTCTTGAGTGCTGGGATTACAGGTGTGTACCACCGTGTGTGAGCTTTCTAATAAAGTCCAGTTTAAAGAGACTTTTCTCTTGACATTTTCAGATAAAATGCCTCTAGAATCGACACAAGCCTCATCTCTCCTGAAAGAGGGCCTTTTAATAGGGAAGGAGGCAGTCTTGAAGCTGAAAGCTTTGTCATCATCTCCACTTTTATAAATGATGAAGAGAAAGAGAGACTTAGAATAGACTCTAGACTGTAATTCTCAGAAACATAGTCCCAATGGCTGCACTATCCTTCCTAAACTGATATACACAGTTAACGCATCCCCAATCAAAACACCAACAGCATTCACCACAGATCTAGAGAAAATGATTCTCAAAATCAGAGGGAACCAGAAGAGACCCAGAATAGCAAAAGCAATCCTAGGTAACAAAAACAAAGCAGAAGGCATCACAATCCTAGATTTGAAGTTCTATCACGAAGCTAGTGTGATAAAAACAGCATGGTGATGATCAAAAGAAGACAGACTCTGAATCAATGGAAGGGAACAGGAGAAGCAGATACAGCTCCAGACACATTGAGCTATTTGATCTTTTTTTTTTTTTCAGTACTTGGAATCAAACTCAGGACCTCACACTTGCCAGGCAGGTGCTGTGCCACTGAGCTAAATCCCTGGCCAAGCTATTTGATCTTTAACAAAGGGACCCAAAACATATGCTGGAGGAAAGACAGCCTCTTTAATAAATAGAGGTAGGAAAATTTGATATCCACATGCAGAAGACTGAGTCCAGACCCATACATCTCACCATGTTCTAAACTACAAAGTGGATCAAAGATCTAAATGTTAAAACAGAAGCATGTGATCGCTGGAAGATAAAACAGGTAAAACTCTTGAAGACAGAAGCATAGGCCAGGACTTTTGGAACAGAGCTCCCCACCACAGCACAAGAAATAATACTAATAATTAGCAAATAGGATTATATCAGAATTAAAAACTATGCCCATAAGGGAAACAACCAACAGAGTGAAGAGACAACCCACAGAACGGAAAAAACGCTTTGCCACCAATCCCTTGGGCAGAAGAATAAAACCTAGAATATTCTATAAAGGGATCAGGGATTTAGCTCAGTGGCACAAGCACCTGCCTGTCACGTATGAGTCTGATCCCCAGTACAAAAACAAACAAACAAAAAAGGAACATACTATAAAGAACTCAAAAAGATTAGACCCCCCCAATAATGACCAATAAAAACTGAGCGACCAAAATGAATGGACACTTTTCAGGACAAGTACAGATGGCCAATAAATGCATGAAAAAATGTTTGACATTGCTGGCCACTAGAGAAATGCAAAATAAAACAACACTTAAATATAACCTTACTCCAGAAAGAATGGCTACCATCAAGAAATCCAATAATAACAAATGCTGATGAGGCTGTGGGGAAAAGAACACTTCAGCATTGGTGGTGGGCGAGTAAACTAGTGCAGGCACTGTGGAGATCAGTGTGGAGATTCTTCAGAAAACTAAAAATAACTGGGTGTGGTGGTGCATGCCTGTAATCCCAGCACTCGGGAAGCTGAGGCAGGAGGATCACTGCAAGTTTGAGATCAGCCTGGGATACATGGTTGTGTTTGATCCCTGATACCAAAAACAAAAACAAAAAACAAAAAAACAAAGCCAAAATAAATTTCAGGGGATCCAACTATTCCCCTCCTAGGTGTCTTCCCAAAAGAGTCATATTACACTGATAGGTGCATACCTATGTTTATAGCTACACGATGTATATTAGCTAAATCTTGGAAACAATCTAGATGTTCAACAGATGAATGGATAAAGATATGGAATTTATAACCAATGGGAGTACTACTCTGCCCCGAAGAAGGACAAATTTGAGGCATTTGTAGCTAGATGGATGCACTGGAGACCCTAATGTCAAGTGCACATAGGAAGCTAAGTTATCACGTGGTTTCTTTCACATGCAACACCCAAAACACAAGGAGCAAGACAAGAGATAGGGAGATGTTTTTCAAATGGGAAGGGGAACAAAAGACAGGAAGGAGGGAGGAAAGAGAGAGGAGGAGAGAAGAGAAAAAGAGAACAAAAAATTGGAAAGAGCTTTTGAAAACGGAAAGAGTCGGCGCAGGGAGGGCTAGGAGGACGAGGGGATGGCAAAGGAAAGAACTAGGCTGTGTTGTGCTCAGGTGTCAGCTCCCCAGTGTAACCAGGCACTACAGATAAGTGCCAATAAAAAAGAGAATAATAATTCTAAAAAATGGGAGAAGCCTGGGCCAGGCCGGGGCCAGAGCACTTGGCAGGTCAGGCTGGAGAGGCCCACGGTGCCATGCGGGCCTGGGCTGTCCCTTCCCTGGTGACCTCCCCGCGTGGCCTAACGCGCTCATCTCACCCTGTGCCCAGGGCTGTCTGTCCCCTGCTCTCTCCTTCGGCTCCCAGCACTGCGTTTCAGGCCAACCCCACAGCACAGCCCCAAGCCCAAGGACTTCCCCGCTCTTTACTGTTAGCTCATTTTTCTCCAGGGCTGAGTACAATCCGCACGGTTTGGCACAGCAGGCTCCTCAAGAGCGGCCTTCTTCCTCCTCCTTCCCCGGCTTCCCCTTTCTCTTCATCCCTTCTTCCTTGCCTCCTCCCTCAAGTTCTTGTCCTGTTTCTCCCTCTCCGTCTCTCACTGGGGCTCTCTCTGCAGCCTTTTCCTCTGCAAGAAGCCTGCACCTCCTCCGCGTCTTTGCTGTGTCAGCTTCCTCTGAAAGTCGCTGATGCCCGAGTGTGGGTTAGCACGGTTTTCTTTTTGGGGGGTTTTGTTTTGTTGCTCCAGCATAGGCCTCACTACACTGTACTATCCACTTCTGCATCTCTATTTCCTTTACTGGACCAGGAGTTGCTTGTTTACTCCAGTGCCCCACTCGTTCTTGGTGTAGAATCAACCCTCAGCAAATAATTAGTTTTGCGCAAGTGAATGAGCATAGCTGGATCTGACCAACCCTGATCCTTTCATTGTGAAGACTATAGAAAATAGAAAATGGCCAGCAAAGATTTCCAGGAGCTTAATAAACTGTGACCGGGCTCCCACTGGACTCCTGAGGTAGGGGCTACTTTTGCTCCTGGTCGTGTTCTCCTTGGGGTTTAGCAATGCCGTGCATGTCACAGACGCTTAACATATATGATCGAATTGAATATATGTAATGTATTAAGTAAGTAGGATATGTGATTATTCTTCTGTCTGTAATTAGAATAAAAATAATGACTATCCTCAAGACATACTCATTTTCCATTGAGCATGGACTTTGCCTTTTTAAGCAAAAATACATTTTATAATAGTATTTCTGAGAAAGTTCTGTGCATTGTTCTCCTGCAAATGAGAGCTCATTGGACTTTATATTTGTTTATATTACCAAATATCTGTAACTTGCAGTTTGAAGCAATTCACTAAAATATTGTAGAATATAAAAATTCTGGCTACATGTTTTTACTTTATTCTTAAAAGCCTCTTGTTTTAAGAAGCTAAGGATATATATATCTACATGTTATAAGTAAGTCTAGGTTAAAATTTAATCCGCATGATGAAAAGCAAATGGGAGAAGATATTTACAGGCAGTGTCTTGTTTTCTTTGTTTCGTGCCCTGTATCTGAAATAGCATCACATTTTCATCAACACTGTTGAAAGAAGAAGAAAAGATGTCAGTGCTGTCCCCTGAAATGACGCCCGAGACTTCTAGAGTCACCAGAAGCTCGCTGGACGGTTGTTTTCTTCTTGAGAGTAGCTGGAGGAAAGCAGTGTTAGCAACACAGAAAATAAGGAAAGGTAATTTCACTTTTATTGTTATTTCCTGTAAGATAATGTAGAAACAGTGCTTCGAGTTTGTGTGTGTGTGTTTAAAGTAGCCAAGAGACATCGTATCATTTCTATGACATTTATGGGCTGGCAGTATATAAAGTTTCTGGAAAAGGAAAATGGAAACAAATTATAATTAATACATTTCAGTGAATAATAGAAACAAACAAACAAACATTCCTCTTCAACCAGGCCTGATGGTGCAGCCTGGGCTACATAGTGAGTTCAGGGCCAGTTTGTAATTCACAGTGAGAGCCTGTGTCAACAAACAAACAAACAAAAATATAAATTCTTCTCTTAATAGTCAGTGCATCACTATGTTTGTTGGACCATGCCCCTTTTCCTAAATACTGTTCCTTTTTATATACTTCAGGTTAATTTTTATATTTTGAAACATCCAAATTTTTAGCATTGCCTTGGATGTGTCCTCGGACAGGATTTTATATTGTATAGTTGTTCTGTAAAGACAGTATCCCCCTTTACGTTCAGACTGCGATTGTATTTGTTGTTTATTTTGAATTCTGCCTGCAGGTTTGTTATGGAGATAAAATTCTTGAAAATAGTAAAATTCAAACTATTTTATAATTTCATCCCTTGTTTTGTTTTTGTGGTACTTACAGCATTGAGCCCAAAGCCTTTGCACTGAGCAAACCCTTTCCCCCTTTTTTTAGACAGGGTCCCATTAAGACTTAAACTTGCCAAGGGTGGGCTCAAACTTGGGATTCTGTTGCTTCAGGCTCCCGGAGTCCTGGGATTCAGGTTTGTACCACCAGGCCCATTTCCTCCTGCTTTTGAGAGCGTGCTATGCATATTTTATAAACTAGCTTTCTCGCCAGGTTCCCATTAAGGGTACTCAGAAGACACTAGTTCATTTATCTTTCAGCTGTCCAAATCTAATGTTGAAAAGTGAATATATGTTTCTGAGAAATAGAAAATTTTTTTCTCTAAAACAGGAAAAAAAATCAAATGTTGCAAAGTAGTACTTTGAATGTTTAATGTGACAACCCCAATCTCAGTAAATACTGTGTTGCTGGGCCGGCCTTGCTTAGCAGAGAGGCTATGTTTGAAGGCCACACGGACTTCAATATCTTGATCTCCTTTTCCATTTAATGCCTTTGTTTTTATTTTAAAAAATAATTTGACGATCCCTTTGTTGGTTGAGATTTGAGGTCAGTAAAAGAAGCAATATGCTATTTATAGATTTCGTGTAAAATTTCGTGGAGACATTTAATGCCTAAGGTCAAATTATTTCATCTCTTGTGGAGGTAGGTATTGGCCAGATTGGATATGCAGAATAAGGGACTTTGGGGCCACAAGCTCCAAACCTCCTGGAATGCACAATTAAAGATTAAAAGATAACCAACACGGCCACAAATCCAAGTAGGATCAAAACACACTGCCTTAAAGGATCTCTGGCCCTTGTCCTCATCATACTCCAATATACTACTTAGAGTGGCCCTAAGGAATTCATATCCGCTATATGAATTCCTGCAAGATACCCTTCTTTGGTCCTTCATCCTTGCTTCCTGCTTCTGTCAACAAAACGCCACAAAAACTTCAGGTCAGGGCTGTTTTTTCCTGAGACTTTCTCACATTGAGGGTCTCAGTTAAAGCAGACCCTCTCTGCCCATTTGGGGTTTAAACTGGACACTGGCTTCGAGTAATCTCTTATCCTTCATACTGCACAGTGGGTACAACCTGGGCCAGTCTTTCACTGTTGGCTCACATGGTCAGGTATTTATCCCTCTTGATTATTTATTTACAGAAAAGCAGGAAAGTAGAAAGAGTCACAGCAGTAGATAATACTAGACTTCTTTCAAATACTTATTTTTAAATTTTAAAACAATTTAATCTAATTATAAATAGATATTAATAAAGAAAATATAAAAATTATCCTCTTGGGGCTGGAGATATAGCTCAGCGATGTAAGTGCCTGTCCGGCAGGCACAAGGATGGGATTTGATTCTGAGTACCAAAAACAACAAAACAAAAGCAAAAAATATTTTACCCCTTATCTCTTTGACTTTTTAAAAAATTTCTATGACTCTTAGAAGTGCTTTTTGTTTAAATGTGATACAATATTCTGTATAATTCTAACTGAATAAACTAGTGAAGGCAGTGGACAGTGACAATTGAAAATCTGGGAAGCTGTCATTTTTTTCCTTTTCCTAGTTGTTAATCAACTTAATCTACTCCTTCCTACAGTCTCTTTGGTGAAATTTGAAAGAAAGGTCCTAGATAAATTATAATTGCTTGACTTTTGTTACTTAATGATTATTTACATTTCATTGTTCATTTTAGTATACAGTAAAAGTGGGAGTATATGTTTGACCCAGGTAATTGTGATAATATTTTTAAATTAGAATACACCACCACATTTGGTCTAGAAGAGCTTAAAGAACATGTCAAAATGCCACACTTACCAAGACTGCAGAGGTGCCAACAGAATGAAAGTTCAACTCCGGTGGAAGTTCACAAACAGCTACTGCACGCTCACATGGAGATGCCTACAGTCAGGTAGATCACTCGTCAGCTCTCGCTGCATATCTGTTTGTCATAATGCTGCTGAATGGCGAGGTCTTCCTGGCCAATCATCTAATTTTTTCCTGCCAATCATTATTTTTTCCATAAAAATTTAACTTATAAAATCTAAAGTTAGCCATTCTATTATTCAGATTGACAAGTAACTACTTTTTTCTGTTTTCAAGTGATGTTGCCAGGAAAGAGTTAAAGATTTTCTTTAAAACATTTTCATTGTCCTCTTCTAGATCCTGCCTATGAGAGCAGCAAATTTTAATTCTCAGCAGTATAAGAGGTTTTTGTCCCTTGAATACTGAATCTTGGGTTTCAATTCCAGAATGACTGAACCAGGGCTAGGAAAGATTGTGGATGATATCTTGGCCTGGTTAAACTCAGTGTTGACTATCAGGAATGAATTTTTTAGCCAGAAAGTCTCCCTGACTTTGAATATTGTTGTTTAGGAGCATTGCCTGCTTCCTTATCACAAATCAGACCTAGATACCAGTAAAAGAAAATCTTTCTCCATAAAAGATCTATCTATAAGTTATCTATAACTAATAAAGTTTCCTATTCTGTTCAATGTCAATTTATATGCTTGTTTGTTTGTCACTACTACTTGTTTATTAATAAACACTACTTGTTTATTTTGCCAGCCTTAAAAATTGGAAGCATTTCTGGCTTTCTAAATTTCAAATTTCTTTAGAGGGGACTATTTATATTTGCATGTTTTCTTTCTGTTGTTAGTAACGTTAAAGTCATTCAATTATACACAGCATTCATGGCTGGAATCTTTGAGTATGCCAAAAAATGTATATACACTTCGTCAATTTGCCATACTAATAAATGTCTGGAAGCTGATGGCCACAGTCTGAGGGTCTCCTGTAATTATAGAGGCCAAAGGTGACTTGTACTGATCTATGTCTCAATAAATTTAGTATTAAAATATTTATACAACAAATATTTACACAAGCTTTTCTTTTCCTGATATATACATTGCTTGGTGGACTTTTGTATAAGCATGGTGGGTCATGCGTATAATCCCAGCATTCTGGGAGACTGAGACAGGACGCTTGAAAGTCTGAGCCAAACCTGGGCATCTTATCCACTCAGTGAGACCCTATCTCAAAAATCAAAAATCAAAGAAAAAGGGCTGTAGGTGTAGCTCAGTGTGAGGACCTTGAGTTCAATCTCGATTCACACACACACACACACACACACACACACACACACACCCTAAAAGAGGAAGGAATGCAAGGATGCGGAAGGAAGGGGAACTATTTGAACCATGAACATCAGACCTACTGAGGTTGCCAGGTTACATCATTACTGAGATGGACACTCAACTCCCTCATCGGTTTCCTGGCCCCGGTGTTATTTGGCCGGAGCGGGAGGAATGTAGTGGCCACCGCGGCTATGGACTCGGTTTCGGTGCACACCGTTCTCACGCGAGCATCTTGAAGAGACCGGAAGCCTGGGAAGCACCCCTTGAACGAGCCCACTTCACCTCGCAGTTCTGAGTCTTCATTTGCTTTTGCTGTTTCCACTGTCTTTCAGTTTTGCTTTTCTGTTTCACGTTTGTGATTTTTTAAAAAAAAATTATTTCTGAACATCTTGCATTGACTTGAGTGCAGGATAATCTAAACACATTTTATTTGTGTGGGGACACTATTCCTTTATATATAAAGCGGAATAGTGGTGACCAAGCCACTTAAAGTGCATGGAGTGTCTGTGAAATGTAAATGCTCTTTCTTTATTTTAGCTGTTTTTGAGAGAACATTTCAAGCTGTTTATTCCCCTCTGCACATTACACAGCACCCTGAGAAAGACCAGTCTTGGCTAAGGAAGGAAAGACCAGTCTTGGCTTGTTGTTTGTTCTGTGTGTAAATCCCTTGATTTCTTTCCCTCTCTCTGTATGAGAATATTTGATTTAAAAGCTCTGACAAAAGTCTCATGTTTTCTCAAATTTCTTTTTTTTTTTTATCGGTACCGGGGATCGAACTCACGACTGCCTGCTTGTAAGGCAGGTGCTTATGCCGCTGAGCTAAATCCCCAGCCCCTTTCTCAAATTTCTTAATGGTGATCAAGAATTTTCAGTGATAAGAATTTTCACAGCACACCGTGGGAGTATAATTGATCATAGCAATCTCATTGTTAATTGTAATAAATTTCAGGTTGATGGATAGATTAAAAGTGCACAAATAAGGAATATTTGTTATCTGACACAGCCACGTAACCTCTTACTCTTTATTTTCCTCCTTTTACAACTTCTCAAGCCATGAGCACACAGTTATAGTAAGATTTAAAGAAGCTGCATGTGGTAGCTTGCTAAGACAATGGTGTTTATATTGGTTTCTGATTGGAAGGGCTGGGGATTTAGCTCAGTGATATAAGCACCTGCTTTGCAAGCACATGGTTGTGAGTTTGATCCCTGGTACTGATTAAAAAAAAGTGCATATATATGTGTGTGTGTGTGTGTGTGTGTGTGTACAATATATATATATATATATATATATATATATATGGCTTCTGATTGGATTAGCTGTAACAGAGTTTCTTTATCCATTTACTTAATTTCCATGTGATATCTCTTAACAAACTAGTTTAGGGTTTGGGTGTAGTTCAGTGGTAGAGTTTATGCTTAGCATGTTCAAGGCCTGGTGTTTGATCCCCAGCACTAGAAAACAAAAATCAAAACCACCAAGTGTGTTTCATTGAATATTTGTTGCTTCCCTCTTCTCCACCTCCTCCTCCTGCTCCTCCTGCTCTTCTTGTTCCTCCTCCTCCTCCTTTGTCTTTTTGAGTCAGGGTCTCACTATGCAGTTTAGCTGGGTCTTGAACTCACTTTGTAGCCCAGGCTGGCTTTGAACTCACAGCAATCCTCCTGTCTCAGCCTCCCAAGTGCTGAGATTAAAGCCTCTTCTTGTATCTCTGAAAATAAATACATATTCTAGATTTTTATATGAGTAATTTTATAATAATATATAATCCTTAGGATAAAGAAGACTAAGAAGATGTGTACCATGGTACCACTTCAAAAGAAATCAAAAGGTAAACTGGTTCATCCATTTTTCCCACCTATGTCTTATTAGAAGTCATGTTCTTTTTTTTTTAATTAAATTAAATTATTGAGACAAGGTTATCCTATGTCGTTCAGGTTAGTTTTGAACTTACTGCGTAGCCCAGACTGGCCTTGAATGCATGGCAATCCTCTTGCCTCAGTCTCTCAAGTGCTGGGATCACAGATGTGCACCACCACACCTGGCTGGGTGTCACATTCTTATTTTACCTTTAAGCTCATTTTCTTTTTATTGGTTTGTATTGTTTGTTAAAGCTTCTTTAAGGCTTTATTCTGTAAACTCAGTGGATATTTGGTTTGCTACGTACATACCTTTTTAACTGTCAGGACTATGGAATAGGGCTTGTACCTCACGTCAGCCAATTAACAGCTTACAAACTGATTTTATTGGTTTGAGTTTTGACCTTTTAAATCCTTCAACACTGTGACAAAAGCTTAAAACCTTGACTTCTATTCAGTCACATTACTTTCTTCTTCAAAAACAGTAACTCCTGTTTCCCTGAAGACTAATGTATGAATTTCTTAGCCTGGTTTGAACTTTCACCACCTTCCCCTAACTTTTTATACTAGCCTCATCTACTAACAAAGTTTTTTGAAAAAATTTTTATATGAATCTTGTATACTGAAGACATCTCAGTATAAAAATTTATTCATACACCAATATTTTGGGTTCCAAAAGGTACTTTTAAATCAATTTATTCCTAAGTCTGTAGTTAGTACAGGCACCATGATATATTCCTACCATATGTGAAGAGAGAGTTGTCCTTTGAAATTTTAAAATCAGGAGTTCTTATCTCCATATTCATGATATATTTTATCAGAATTTTGTTTTTCAAAAGTATGAAAAATCTGTTGATTCAGGCTATTACAGCTTTTAATGATATCTTCAAGATTGTAGAGAACTTCCTAGTAGTTCCGGTGTCTGTGCTCTGCCTCATTTCCTACTTTCATGTGTAACGCGAGCTGTTACATCACAGGACCATAATACACGTGCCATAGTGCATGACCAGCATTTATGTTCTACAATAAGCTCTTAGTACTTTCCTCAAGTAATTTTACCCAGATTAGTGGTAAAGATTCTTGAGCTATATGTCTAAGGTTTTCTGTTTTGTCAATTCATTGTTCATGTAGGACAGGATTTTTCGACAGTAATGGTATTAACATTTTGAACCAGATGATCAGTTGTGGGGTCTATCTTATGCAACATAAGGTGTGTAGGAATCAAGATCAGCATGGTGGCACCACTTGTAGTCCCAGAGCTTGGGTGGCTGAGGCAGGTGAGCCACAGCGAGTTCAAAACCAGCCTGGGCCTACCTAGTGAGTTCAAGGCTAGGCTGAAGCACATGGCAGGATATTATCTTAAACAAAAACCAAACTAAATCAAATCAAGACAAAACAAAACAGAATCATCTATTGCGTTTACCCACTAGATGCCACTAGCATCCCTCAGTTGAGAAAATAAAAAATGTCTCCAAATATTGCCAAACATTCACAGGATAGCAGTCACCCACAGCAGAGAAACACTATCCTAGGTAAGGCTTGTAAGGCCATGTTATTTGATGCTTGTCCTTCAGACTACCAAGTGGCTCATCCTTTATTTGGGTGTGTTAGTTATTTCCCTATCAGTCTAAGACTTTTTAAGCCTTATTTGGTTTTCATTTTTATCATACTTGTAGTTGTCTTCTCTTAGTGTATTCATCATTTCAAATGAATACAAGCTGAAATTACTAAGTAAAGCTTCTATGGACAATCTTAGTAGCAGTCTGACTTGATAGTAACTTTTAAATTCCATCTATGTGAGTTCATGAAGAAAATATATTTCCTTTCTTCTATATGCCATGTGTAACTCCTGCAACCAACAAGTGGCATAAAACAAAAATGTAAATGTTAGTCAGAACTTAAGACTTTGTTTTGCATCTTACTGCAGATGAACATAGCTGTCTGTTTTCCAGGCAGCTAACTTTATGGCTTTTCCAGGGTGGGTTCTGCTATGATTTGGATATATGTGTCCCTCTATAACTCATGGTGGAACCTGGTAACCAATGGAACAGCATTAAGAGATGAGGTTTTTTGGGAATGATTGTCGTGAGGACTTTGCTCTCATTAGAAGATTAGTGCTTTTCTAAAAACCCTGGTGTGAGAAACCAAAAGAGTAAATAAGGACCAAAATATACAATATTGTGAAATGGGAAGGAATTGTTCAAAAGGAAGGAGGAACTAGGTAGGGACACGGTGAAAGGAAGGAAGGGAAAGGGGGAGAAAATGGTTAAAAAAAAGAATAAAATGGAAACAAAGCTTTGTAAATAAGGAGGGGAAGAGAGATCAAAGGGAGAAGAAGAGATAGGAAAAAAGAGGAATCAGTGTATCGTATACAGGCACAAATTACTTATGATGAATATGATCATTACGCATATCTAAAATGCACCAATAAATGTAATTTTAAAAATTAATTAATTTAGAAAAAGGAGGTAAAAGTTTGGGGATACAGTTTTTTTCTAAGCTGGTTAGAAGCATAAATGAAATGCAAAATAGAAATGAGCAGTAGACATCTTTGGCTTGCTTCTGACTGTCAAAGGGGATGGCTTTACTATCTCTTCAGTAAGAATGATGCTTCCCGTAGGTTTGGAGTAGCTCTCCTTTAGTAAGTGAAAGATGCTGCCTTTAATTGTTTTCTTCATAAATCAGAGTTTAATTTTTCCACATGATTTTCCTTAATTGATCATCATCATTTGTGTGTGTGTGTGGTCGTGATGGTGATGGTGCCGGGGACTGAATCTGAAGTCTTAGCACTGAGTACATACCTAATCACCGGCTTCTTCTGTTTTTGTTTTTGTATTAGAGGCAGAGCTCTGCCTAAAAATCTCAGTTGTCCAGGCTGGACTTGAACTTCTGATCCTCTCGCTTCAGCCTCCCGAGTGCTGGGATTACAGACATGTGCCACCCCACTTGGCTTTATGAATATTTTTTGAAGTGACTTGATCTCATAGTCACAAGGGGCATTTTAGAAAGCAGATATTGGTATTTCTTTTTCAAAGTAGGTATTATACAAAGATGTAGTAGTGTTGTATAGTCATTTATAGAACAGACATTTCACTCACTATGTTTTATAGAATTATTCATCATGCTTAATTTAATCTTAGTCTTGATTTTTTTCTCTCTAGACTCTGGCTTCAGTGACCCTCTCATTGGAGCATCATCTGAGTACTTGCAGAGACTTTCCAGAATGGCCATATTGGAGTACAATACCATTCGTCAGGAAACATCCAAAAAATTTAAAAAAGGCAAGAAACAAGAGCAACGAGACTGCTGACAAACGTCATAGTGTGGTGCTTTCTTCATCTGCTCTTAAGTTCATTTGCAGTTTTCCTTTCTTTTTTTTTGATATGTGATATGATGTGCAGTGATTTACATACAATGGAAATGTAAATAGGAAATAAATATTTTATGTCACATATGGAATAACTTCTTTTGTTAACATTAGAAATATACAGTTGAATTATAGGGACATAAAATATAGGAGAAATTATATTCCATGAATTTTATTAATTAATTAATCAATTAATTTCCACAATCCTGAGATTGGACAGAGGGCCTTTGCACTGTACATGCACAGCCTTTTTATCTATTTGTTTTTATTTTGAGGCAGGATCTTGCTAAATCACTAAGGTGCCCGAGTTAGACCTGAACTTGCCATTCTTCTCGGTCTCCTGGAATGCTGGGGTTACAGGTGTGCATTATCATGCCTGGCTTGATTATGTCTTCCGATTTAATTTAATAAATATTTTTGAGTGCATGTTTGGTGTTACCAATTTTCTCATACCTCTGAGCTCTTTTACTGAGGGTTACCGGTTTCTCCCTCTGGGCTTGAGGGTGATGGAGAATGAAGTTGATGACACAAAGTGGGGAACACACAGATTGTAGCTTATTAGACAGAAAAAAGCAAAGCTCTCTCTAGCTGAGAAGGGCTCCGAGGGAGGAGATTGCGGGGGATCTAGGTCCAGGGGTTTATATGTGGACTTCAATGTGAATACAGAACAATGCAGTTGCCGTTTTTATTTTTTTATTTTTTATTTTTTTTCAAGATTGATGCTTTTTTTATTTTAAAGAAGATGAAACAATGAAAACAAACCAGTGTAACAGATACAGGACTTCAAAATCTTACAAAATCAACAATAGTTACCATAATTCCTTTTGATGTCTTCAAAACAACTGCAGAGAACTTTGAACATAGTAAAAATCAAACAATAGAATAGAAATATAATAGCAAAACAATGAATGCAATAAAGGACAGTTGCCGTTTTTAACCAGGGCCCTGACATCAGGAGGGCAGACTCCCTCTGTGCCCCAACTTCTCAGGGCTTATTATCTCAGTTTACCCAGGCTCTTGCCTATTTTTATATCACTTAGTCTTATGTGCCATGAACTTGTTTGCTAGATGCTACAGAAGCTTCAAGGAAGAGTAAGTGTAGTTGGGGTTAGAAGGGGAAGGATCAGTAAAAATCCCTCTTTTTTTCCTCCTGATTGAGTTTGGAAGCAGCTGTGAGATATTTAGTAATATGAAAGTGACAATAATAGTTTAGTTTGCTTATATTTTATTTTATTTTGAAAGTATACAACAGAACAAGACAGAATAAAGCCAATGAAGATTGTACAGTGAAATTGGTACAGAACTTCACAGAAGATTACTGGGATAACAGTAATAGGTATCACAGTATATTTTGTTATCTTTATAATAGTTTTTCTTTCAATCACGTATATCAAATTGAGATGAAATATGGAACACTATAGAACTTATCAAAACAGAATATTGAATAGAGCAGTACCATTAATCAGAAAAGAGCAAAACAGTAATAAAAATATTTGCCTTCAAAGAGATGGTAGAAGGAAGTCCCTCTTATTTGCTGTGGTCAACCTCCCAGGAGATGCTCAGATTTCTGGCTCCCATTTGCTAATGGGAAGTAGGGGAAGTGGGATATTTGACTCTAGGCCGTGCATCAGTAGGTTCATTATTGCTTAGCAGGGAGGCAGGCTGGTTGTTTGGTTTCACAGCCTCCTAAGTTCCAACATGGCGTGGATCTCAGGAGCTACTGCTGGTTCTCCCCCTGGAAGGGCTGCAGTGTGCCACACTGCCACTGCTTACCAGGGAGGGGAGGTGCTTGCTTGGCTTCCCAGGGTCCTAAGTTCCAACATGGCTTTAGTTTGCTTATTAAACCCAGATGGGTGATCTTAGCTCAGACTGATTGCAACAGTAGGCCTCCCAATACAAGAACTTCAGACTGATAAATGATCACACCTGGGAGAGCTGACCACCCTGGCCTCACCTGCCACCTCCCTGTGTGGACAGGCAGCTCCCCAAGGTCAAGGGAGGATGTCAAAAGACTTCCACCATTTTCACAGAGAGGAGGAGGAAGGTCTAGGTCAAAAGGAAAGTCCTCCTCCAGAAAACTGGAGGAGTGGAGAGAAGTGTGCAGTTCTCTGAGAAATCAAGGCTGCCAGTGACTGATTCTATATAGTGGAGAATCACAGCACATTGCAGGGGGTGAATGGTGTGGTCTGAGAAGGCTTTAGAGAAAATGTGGTGTTTGAAATGGGCATTAAATACAGGAAAGGTGGAAAGGGGAGGGCAGGGGCTGGGGATTTAGCTCAGCGGCATAAGCACCTGCCTTGCAAGCAGGCAGTTGTGAGTTCGATCCCTGGTACCGATAAAAACGAAAGACAAAAAAGAAAAAAAAAAAAAAGGAAAGGGGAGGGCATTACTAGAAAGATGGAAAAACGTAAGCAAAGGCATACTATGCACTTGGGAACTATGCTTTGGAGCACTAGGTAGTATAGAGCAGATACACAAATTCACATGCAGACGGACCAAGCCAGCACCAGCCTGCCTGACCTAATCAGGGAAAGGCCAGTGAACTGGGAAGTATTATCCCATTTAAAAGGGCTCTGGCTGCCTACCTTCAGCTCTTTATACCATGTGGTCTAAAATAGTTTTAACTTTTCATAAAAAGTGAGAAACTGATTTTTTGGGAAACTTTTCAGTATATAGATGTTGGTGACTAACTTAAAATAAGCAACTCTGTCAAAATTTAGAAAACCACTGTGTGAACCAAAGAAAATGACATATGCAGGCTAAATCTGACTTTGTGGAGTTCATCTTCACAACCCTGAGGAAAAAGGAAGAGAAAGGCCGGCCAGGCTTAAGTGATAACTTGATATTGTATGGTAGAGAACCTCAGACAGCAAGCATGAGTTTATATTTAATTGCAATGGGGGATTTTGAGTCTGAAAGTGAGTTAGTGCTTTTGTGATTCAGGAAGATTCATTCAAGTACATTGAGCAGGCTGGATTGTAATGGGAGAGAGTGGGGGTGGGGAAATCATTTTGGTCATCACAGAAATCAGGACAAGAATCTGCGAGTTGGAGGTAGAAGTAGGAATGGGAATGAGGGACTGAATATAGGGTGTCAGGAAAGGAAGGCTCAAAACTAACTCAGATTCCCAATCTTAGCAGCAAGAATCTCAGAGGTAGAGGTGCTGCTTTGGGAGGAGTGCAACTTTGGGTATATCCAGTTTAAAATGGAATCAGAACACCTTCATAGAGATGCCAAAATTGGATTTGAAAAGTCTGTCTTTAATTCTGAGAAGATACTAAAGCTGGAACCTTGGGAAACATTTGCATAGCAAAGGTTATTTTCCCAATTAAAAAAAACGAGAGAAATAAGCCCAAACTCCTATAAGGATGGGACAGGAAGACAAGAAAATAGGAAAAAAGCCATCACAGGTAAAAGAGAATGAACATTTTTTATGTCCTTGCATGTCTTGTATTTATTTACACAAATATAATATATATATACAGTTCCCAAGGGGGATGTCTTAGTTATTTTTACTCATCGCTGAGACAAAATACCTGAAGCCCAAAGTTGGGAAAGGAAAGGTTTATTTCTTACAGTTTTTGGAGGTTTCAGTCCACACTCAGTTGGCCGGCAGGCATGGCTGGGCTGCAGTTCATGGCGGCCGCCAACAGCAAACTCAAACCAGCAAAGAGCAAGACACACCTTCTTCCTGCCATTACATCACATCCTGGCTCCACCCTATGTGGGTGGAGCACTGACACCATCAATCCAAGCAGTATACAATGAACCATCACATATGAACAATGCAAACTCGTGAGGCCTGGGGGACACAAACATAAACCATGACAGGGGATAACCAAGTAAACTTAAATGGTTATATTTGTGCTTATGTGTGAATTTTTTTTTGAGACATGGCTTTCTGCCCTTGAACTCACTATGTAGCCCAGGCTGGCCTCAAACTCACAACAATCCTCCTGCCTCAGTCTCCACCACGCCTGGCTCCTACATATGAATTTTTATTGAGAGTGATTTAGATATTACCTGTACCTTTTCTGTCTTCTGATTACTCCTCCAAGTGTATTTAATTTTTTAAAAAGAATGAGGTGCAGGAGAAAAGTTATTCTCCCTCGGGGAGTGACTGGATGGATGTGTCTTCTTCCCAGTTCCTGCCTTGTTCTCTGCTCCCTGGCCACCAAAACAAGATCAGCGTTTCCTCTACCGTGTCCCTTCACCACGCTGCTTCCTGTTTTGGAGACAGCTGCCCGTGAACAGTAACCAGGAGCCAAATTAAAACTTCCCTCCTTTAAGTTGCAGGTATCAGGTATTTTGTCCCAGTGAAGAAGAAAATGACTAAGACAGAAATCTTTCTTCCTGTGGCCCTTGAACAAGTAAACTTGCATATGCTCGCAGCATGAGCAGTCTGTGAGAGGAGGGCGATGGAATGGGGGGAACAGCAAACTTTGAAGCAAAGGAGTTGGAGTGGACGGGGAAAACCATTGCAGGGAGGGGCCGCTGTCTCAATCCGTCACCGGAAAAAGTCACGGCAGTGTCTGATAACAGCACACATGGAGTCTGAGTGATGGTGGACTCCTGGACTTTGCATACAGTCAGCCTTAAATCAGTGTTCAGGATTCCTGTCTTCCAGGTGTCTTCTCTTTTTTTTCTGATATTGGGCACCAAACCCAGGACCTTGTGCACTCTAGGCAAGCACTGTACCACAGAGCTGCCCCCTGTACTAACGTGGAAGTGGTAGCTATTATCAAAAAGTGGTACATGTTATAGGTATCTCCCACAGGCTCAGGGGTTAGAGGCTTGATGTCCCCAGTGCAGCAAAGTTGAGAGGTGGGCTTAGGGGAAGTGACTGTGACTTAAAGACTCTGATCTTATCAATGAGTTAATTCATTCATGGAGGTGAGAGCTGGTTGGAGGAAGGAGGTCACTGGGGGTATGTCCTGGAAAGGCACTTCTTGTCCCCAGCCTCTGTCTCTCTCTTGCCACTATGATGTGAGCTTCTTTGCCCCACCACAGGCTCCCACCCTGATGTCCACCATACCACAGGCCCAGAAGCAATGGATGCAAGTGGCCATGGACTGAAACTCCTAAAACTGAGCCAAAATAAACCTTTCCTCTTTCAAGTTGATTTTCTCAGGTATTTTTTCACATGACAGAAAGCCATTTGATACCCCAATTCCTTGAGGTGTTTTATACCCCTAGCCTCTTTCCTCTCCAAACTTGACTTGGATATTTGCCTTGGAAGTCGAGGGTCTGGAGATTATTTTTCCCAAAAAGATGAGAAAGTGGTAGATGTCAATACTTCCTCTTCGTGGTAGGTTTGAACCTTTAGGTTTTTTTTTTTTACAGTGGAGCACCCACAAGACAAACGCACTTGGTCTTGGTAAATGTGGCCTCTCCCATGGCATTGCTGTGATGTATTATTCAAGGGA